CAGTTGCGTAGGACATAATTACTACTCTGAAACTCCTTGCTCGAGTTTTGGAGCAAGGAGCTTGTAAGAAGAGCTTCAAGTAAGGACTGTTTTAAAAAAAATTAAACGAAGCGACGTTAGACGTTAAGAATGTTGATGGTATATATTTGATATATTTAGATGTTTCATTAATTGCAAATTTAATATATATTTTATTATTATGTGAAACGTATATAATATTATCTATATATAACACATGCTTTGCTAATATATTTTTATATTATATGTTTATCATAGTATGTATGTATCTATATAATATAGACTTATTGAATTTATTTACTATTTTATTGATGTGTAATATTGATTTGATTTTTTTTTTACTGTAGGTAATTTATTTTGTACTTTAAAGTTATGTGTTAATTTAATGTACCTAATGTTACAAGCGTGTTGGATGCTATCACCTGTTAGCTTGTAAGCATATCTAATAAAAAATAAATAAATAATTATATCTGCCACAAAATCTCATCACTCCACGGATTAACTGCCAGATAATGCCGATACCCATTAAGTCCGCCCTTTGTTACCCTATTTATTAAGGTGTTAACAATATAGATTGAATAAATAAATAAATACATATCATACTTTTGCTCAATACTTTATTCCATTAATCACGTTCACATTAGTCACGCATTAATCAGAATTGGGCTCAGCAAGAATACCGTTTTATTATTTAGATTATGAAACTTTCTCTTTATAAAATAATATTCAACCACTTGTAAGTTATCGTCACCTAATTAATACAACATATGCATGTTATAATTTTGACCATTAAATTGTCTAACACGTCTTTCTGACTTTCCTTCCACAAATTCAAACGAACATGAATCTCTTTTTAATTAGCCAGACTCGCTAGCTTCCGTACGAATGGATGGTACGATCAGGGAAGCTCTCCTACAATACCAGCATAAAGGGGCAGTTGTTTTGTTTCGGGAGTGACAGGAACGGGTGCCTTTTTTACTGATAACGAGGTATTCCTTTTCAGTACTCAGGTGTCACAACGAATTATATATTATGTGTCTATAGGCCAAATGTTAAATGATTTTTTTTACAATTACTCGCTTGATGGAATTCCCACACTGAGCGCATATCAAAGATAATATATGTTTATATCAGTATAAATATATATTGTGTTTATAATGAGTAACAGAATTAGAAACCAGTAATATCTGTAAATATAATTTTATCACGTAAGTGCTTGGTAAGCAGCGGGAAATGATATTAATATCCGAAAGCCTAGTAACTGCCCACGCCTCGAGCGATTAGCAGTTCATATTACAATTTATACGAAAACGAAGTTACGAAAATAATTGTGACTCAGATTTGGTTCGCTTTTACTTTGGTGTAAATATTGTTCTTGTTATTTATGGTAAGTATATATTGTTTCCAATTTTCCTCCAACTCTCTTATTTGCCTCAAGGGTAATCTATTTTTACTGAGAAAATGTTCTTAAAATTATTTGTTCAAATAAGTAATGTTTTTAAGAAATTTCTTTTTTACTCTTCAGATACCTTCTCAGAAATGAGAGGAGGCCGGTCCTCAGACGTGGGATGTATTTGATATTTTATTAATATAGAAATATTAATGCATACAATGGTATCTGATTTTTGAACGGACAAATAACATACAGGTGCTATAATTCGTAGATAGAAGGTTTTATGGAACAAATAAATGTTGCTTGTTCCTTTTCTGTAAGTAGCGGTAATGGTTATTTTTAATGGCTATATTTAAATAATGTTTGGGCTATTAAACAGGGCGCTTGTATTTATCTAATAGAAAAACGTTCAGTGTCAAATACAGTGTTTTACAAATGTGTTTTCTAAGTAATTTAAAACAGTTTCCAGAACTAGACGAGACTGTTAGTGCTACATCGTAATTTCGTCATCAGGAATGCTATCCGCTTACGTATAATTGCATGGAAGCCATCCGTGATCACACATTAGCATATAACGAACATCTCAGATATACTACAAAAGCGAGGCAGCCCGAACAGTGCTCTGAAACTGCTGTCGTACTGCACTCTCAGGGCACTGCATTTCTTATATTTACAAGAATACTACGCATTTAAATAAAACTGTTCTTTACGGATGCTATCGCGTGTATTAACTTATTTTACATTTCCAACTTATTGGGCACTTCACAGTCCTCATGATTACGGAGGGGACTGAGGTGTTCGTCTCTGTCACCTATTACAATACCCACGGGATGATATGGGGAGTAGATAATTTTATTTTCACCGCCACCAGCAGCCTCAAACTGTTATTTTACGTTGCTAATCTCTGAGAGTAGTCTTCCCCGGTCAAGCCCACCCATTCGCGCTGCAGCCATAATATAACTGCAGCGTGGCTTTATAACGTTAAAAATAAATATAATTTCCCTTAAAATAAACAAACTTAAAAAAATAAAACGCCTTCGAGTGTATCAGTACCGAATAAAGTTCTTATGATTCAGGATACGCGAACACTACATAATATGTAAACATAATAAATCCTGAAAAACATAATAATCCTGATAAACATAATAAATTCTGTAAAAACTAATTCCATTTAAAATATTATTTAAATTTAACTAGTTTTTACAGATTTTATCGCGTGAGTTCACTTTTTGTTATTTAATTTACCTGTTCTAACCCTGTTACTTTAATTTTCACATAATTTATTTATTAAATGTTTTGTAATAAAGTTTGCGATTATAATAACTACATTTATTTTTACAAATGAATTACTTCAACGAAGAGTGCGTTGTAAGGACATAAACATTGTTGAAAGTCTTGCATATTTTTTTTAAACCTACGGTATTGTATTGGTCAAGGACTTGTTGACGTTGCGCCCTAAAGCCCTTGTAAAGAAAAATCCTTAATTGTAAGCACCCTTTTGAAAGAAAGGGTATTGTTTGCAAGTGCGTTCTGGGTTTGTTACTTCTATATATTTCATTCATTGTAGCTTTTATTATAGTTTTTCTTCAGTAAGGAACACACAGTCCCCTGACAGTAAGTGGTTCCTGCGATTAAACACAATTATATTTATGCTCGATGAAGAACCAAAATGTAGATGCGTTGTCACCCCCGACACCTGAGGATTGAGGTCTTTAATAAAAGGTTATCCGGTTTTTGTCATCGACCATACAAAAACTACTATCAGCACACAAGAATAACAGATTGAAAACAGATCAGAACAAAATGCATTGAATTATTAGTATAAATAACCTTCTGGTTAACTTGAAATTTAGTGTCTTCCCAATTTATACTTTATTTCGAACGGGATAAAGTTTCATTTTGATAACTCATAAAACTAAGGATTCACGGCCTAGTTAAATAAGCACTTTTCTGTCGCGCTAAAACTATATTAAGTTTATAGGGTGGTAATTACAAAGCTTCGGAATTCGAAAAATACGACAGATCATTAAAAATAAAACAAGTAACAAGAATAGTTTTTATTACAAATTAAAAACTTAGGGCAAATAGCTGTAACATTACAAGTACTTGAAAAAGCACAAAATACTAAAAAGTAAAACATATATTACGATACTATGGACGTATAAAACCATGTACGATACTTGTTATCAAGTAAATACGCCAATTAAAATTAAAAAAAATCCTCTTGTAAGATTTTAACATCAAAAACATTATGACTACGAGTGTGGACAATCTAGAACTCGGAGTACTTAGCTTTTTAAGTGGGTTGAAAAACTAGCATAGAGCCCATCTAATGATAAAAAGTTGCAGCCTATTTACAAGATGCCAGGTGCCACCGCTGGGCACAGGTCTCCTCTCATTTCTGAGAGGGTTTTAGGGCAAGGAAATGTCCGCTGCGCTGCCCCAATGCGTGTTGGCGAACTTCACATGTTTTCGAAATATTTTTTTTCTCATTTCTCAGACATGCAGGTTTCCTCACAATGTTTTCCTTCAACGTCGAGCACGTGGTAAATCAGCACTTAAAATTGCAATTAACAATTTCATTGGTGCCGGCGGGGATCGTACCCGGGTCGCTAGAGTACTGTGAAGCTTACAGCGAGCGCTAACCATCTGAGCTACCTCGGCTCTACCCATGAGTACTAAGATGGAATGCCTATTTATGAGTAAAACGGATATCCGTTTCATGAGTTTCATCTTATGAAAGACATTATTACATTATTACAGTCTTTATTCAGGTAAATAATACACAGTCCCCCTGATGATAAGTAAAACTGCTTTTTTTACTCAACATCAGCACAATGCAGCATATTTCTGCCACATTGTACTGCTATTTTACGCCAATATTCGTGGTATTTCCCCCGGTCAAACCATCCCGTTCGTGCTGCAGCCGTAATATGCTACATGTTCTTTCATCTTCATCATCATCAGCCAGCTCACGAAATTTCCCATCTAGACATATTGATTCTGGACGATGGATTCTCCCTTTTTTGGGAGGATTGCCACGTGGTAGAGCCATGCTGCAGCTATATTAGTAGTATAGTTGTAGCACGAATGGGACGGTTCGACCGGGGAAAGACCACGCTCTCACAGAATACCAGCGTAAAATAGTAGCTTGACATTGCTGTGTTTCGTATGGTGAGTGTAGAGAACCGGAGACCCTTTTTACTGGAGGAGAGGCATTCCATCTTGGTCCTCACGGGTGGCAGCGCATCTGCATTTTGATTTGTAAACGAGGATGAATGTAGATATCTATGGGCCACAGCAACCATTTACCATCAGGTGGACTGTGTGCTCGTTTATCACCCTATCCTATAAAAAAAAGGATTCTGCCTTTTTTCCTCACCCAGCATGTTTACGGCTTGACCAATTGTGGCATTTTTGGGAGAGGCCTATGTTCAGCAGTGAACTAGTAAAGGGCTGTAATGACGACGAATGTTGGCTATAGCTACCCCTATTAGTTCATATTTAGTAGAAAACTTTTACTGGCTGATTATAAGGAAGAAGGAGATTTTATGCAATAAACGTGTGGTTATGTTATAACTATTTATGTATGCTTGTTTCAGTGCCAATGACTCAACTCGTCGCTATTGCTGGGGAGCCGGTCTACTTACCATGCGACATAGCCACTCAAGATGAAGACGATGCCGTTCTTTTGGTGCTTTGGTACAGAGAAGATCTTGGAACGCCTATTTATAGGTACGATATTTAAAAAAAAAGGTTCATTGACTTATTATATCGTATCAAAAGTAAGCTGCTAATAAAATTATTATCTTTATTTATTTACCAGTCTAAAACTGCTGGATATGTATTTTTGAAATAGCCAATGTTTTTATATTGTATTGTGAGTGTATTTTGCAATATGAATTTTAATTAAAGTCTTATAATCAAAAGGCGTGCCTGAAAAATCTAAATCTTTAACAAATAATGTATGTGATGACCCCATAATGTAAACATTACGGGGTTTTTCCCATGAACTTCTAAGACTTTGACAAATACGATGCCTCACAACTTGTGGCAGAATGAAGCTGACTTCAAGAAGTGATGATGAATTGCTTCTTGTACTTCATCTTTCTTAGTCATACTTGGCAGCCGAACTGCTACCTGTCGTCAGTCTGGGTGTTGTCTGACAAAAACATAATGACAATTACTGGTATCGTGGGCCCCTCCCGCTGGATTATTAGTCATCATTTGCAGAGGAACTACTTCCTGCCACTGCTTTACGCCTGGGGTAAACAAAATATCTATACTGCAACCTATTGGAAGACGTTAGACTTTTTTGGCACTACTCATCGAGACATTTACAATATGGCGACGGGTTCTTTTAATATTCTTATGAATATTTCATTTTATTCTACATTTGCGTATGGTGTCACTTTGTTAGAATCCATCATTAGTTTCTAAAGTATATAATGGTACAAAACTAAAAAAGAATGCAGGCTTTGCTTTGTCTGGTTGTCCAATGGTGGAAGGGAGTGGAAGGGTTTAAATTATGCTGTCCCTGCGAACACTCTCCGTAATATTACTTATACTCTTAAAACGACACTGTTTGGAAGATGTCATACGTCGACGTCTATGTTTCTTATTCAAGACGAGTGAACGCATGTGATACTAGTTTAATTGATTCATACACAACAACTGGAGCCGCAACGAACAACTCACGCACACATGGTTTACACGCATCTAGGCTGCACCCATCTTAAATAATTAACTTCGTTAAAGCATAATTATTTATGTTTAATTAATAATTAACTTCGTCCCTTTTCACAGTTCTCGTAGGATGAAAACCAAGACACCATAATAAATAATTTTGTCTTCTATTTAATAGTGTGGATGCCCGAGAACGAGACTTTGGTGTTGCGGAGCGATGGTCAGACGAAAGCGTTTTTGCTTCAAGAGCGTATTTCCTGCCAGAGAGAAGACCAGCTGAATTAGGAGTTGATCGTGTTCGAGCCTCCGATCAAGGAATATATCGATGTAGAGTTGATTTCAAGCAAGCTCAAACAAGAAACTCGAGGGTGAATTTGACAGTCATAGGTAAATTAATCATGTATAATTTACAGGCTAACTTATAATCTTTAAATATCTTACTTAATTTATGTATTGATTATCTCTATGTGTCCCCTTCTCTCTCACTCTCTCTCTCTCTCTCTCTGTCATTTATTAAAAGAGAATACTTTAAGCATTTATTAAATTAGAGTCAATTTTGGTAACTACCTTAATCCTTAAATTAATCATAATAATCACGTTACAGCCCTTCACAAGTCCTCTAATGATCATAGGCTTCTCCCAATGAATGCCAAAAAGCACGGTCCTGAGTCATTTGCGTTCATCGATTACCTGCATGTGGAATGACATTCAATGACAATTATTACGCAAAAAAATAATAATATTAATTATAAATTAGTCACTCAAATTGAAATGAAAATAGAAGAAACTTTAAATGAAATATTTAATATTTAAATTATTCGTAATCGTATCCAGTGTTTGCAGCTTGCTTTTAAACTTTTATGGGGTCAACTCTGAGTAGGTCAACCTTTTTACAGTGGACTTGTATTAGTCACAGTTAATCAGTTATGTAATATGTTCCATGATCTAAGCAGTTACTGTATTTTAATATATAATGTACCTTGATTTTAACACTTTATTGACTGTGTAAAATTATGCTAATGAACGAAAAACGAAAAGGTTGTTAAGATTATTTATTTAATGAACATCAATATGTCCATGCATCCTTAACAGGCTATAAAGTCCACTACTGCTCCATAGAGTGGATATTTTCCATAGTTTAAACGTATGGCATGCAAATTAACAACCGCAAGTTTTTTTTCATTTTCATTGGTTGTTATCAACTTAAAAATGAAAAATAAACCTACGAGGAAATCTGTGGAATTTTATGTAATATAATGGTAGTCGTTATCAGGAAGATGTTTCTATCCGTCCCCTGTTTCAGTTTCACTCAGTCGCTTCTTACGACACTCACGAACGATATGCGGTAGTGGATAACTAACACTGCCATCACGCGGTGGACATAACAAAATGTAACAGTAATTTAATCGAGTTTAAATACAAAATTGTAACCGTAGTTAGTTTATGGACCTATTACGGAAGACCCTTTTGTCCATGTTTACAAAATTGGATTGCTCTTGGATAAAATCCAATTTTTGAATCTTGTTCGTTAATATAAAAACAACCAATCTGATAGCACAAAGGCTGGGTAAGAAAGGTATCATATTAACAAAAAGGCTCGATAGGAATGAAAAGATTACAAATTAATAAAGGACCAATCCGAAACCAATTTATTTAAAAAATATATGAAATTAAATTTAAGTTAAAAAATATGACACTGACAAAAGTAATACGGATGCAGAAGCAATAACCAATCTAAGTTTATACAATGAATTCAATTAAAACCTTTTCGGAGCACAGAATAAAGGATAAATTCCTGAATATTTTTGGTAAAAGCAGAACGGCTTTGCAGTTAATTACACTGAAGCTACAAGCAAAAAAACGTACATGAAGCGATTTTAAGCTCCAAATCCGCTTAGTGGGACAACTGTGGTTGATCCACAGAGTTATTGACAGTACAAAGCCTGATGCTATTAATCCTCGAAACATGGGTAAAGGCCCGAGCTATGCGTGATTAATGAATATTATACCAAGAAATACCAACACGAAACTTCGTTAATATTGTTAATTATTTATCATGATTTTATCTCAAATAAAATATTTCTACAATAATTATTGAAAATTAGTGATTTGAATATCCATAACCCATTTCGTCCAGTGAGTGTCGTAAAAGGCGACAGATTAAAACTAAAACAGGAGATGGCCAGCAGCATCTTCCTGATAACAACTGAAAATAATAAAAGGAACCCGCCAAGCGTAGCAACTATGGCAAAATCCCTATTAGGAAATCTATGGAGGAGACCTTTTTTTACTTATTATTAGCCAAAGGTGACCACAATCACACAATGTTGGTAAATGGTGTAGTAGCCAAAGATGATAAATCGCACTGTCTTATCATAACAAGAGCCTATTCACTCTTGTCCTGAAGACGCCCAGATTATATTCGAACGGAAAGACAGACGCCGGCAAATTATTCCACTCCTTTGCTGTACACGTAACAAAAGACGAAGCAAACAGTTAGCTCTATGGTCAGGAGTCCCGGAGAGCGAGAACGCCTGCCAGGGAGTGGGGGTGCTGCTGTCTTCTCGGTTGGTCGATGTTATGACTGAATATAAGGTTGTGAACTCAAGACTTCTCTGGGTTCGCTTTAAATTGGGACTGACGAAGTTATTCCTTTTGGCTGTTTATGCGCCGGTAGCTTCGTCGTCCAGGGCTGAGCTGGAGGAGATTTGGGAGAATGTAAGAGAAGTTCTAGATTTGGCTAGGGGAAACGAAAGAATTGTTGTATGTGGTGATTTGAATGGATGGGTTGGTACCGCTCGACCAGGGTACGAGTCGGTACTTGGCAAGTTTGGCGATAAAAGGGTTAATGATGCTGGCAAGCTTATACTGGCGGTGTGCAAGGAAAAGGGTCTTCTTGTGACAAACACTATGTTTAATCACAAGAAAATCCATATCTATACTAGAGAACGAAAGAATGAGAGAAGTATGATTGATTTGTTCCTGGTGGATGACCTATCATCATCATCATCATCATTACAGCCCTTCACAAGTCCACTGCTGAACATAGGCCTCCCCCAAAGAATGCCACAAAGCACGGTCCTGAGCCACCTGCATCCATCGACTTCCTGCATATCTTACCAGGTCGTCACTCCATCTAGTGGGGGGACGCCCTACACTTCGCCTGCCGGTACGAGGCTGCCACTCGAGAACCTTTCTTCCCCATCGGTTGTCGGTTCTTCGAGCTATATGGCCGGCCCATTGCCACTTCAGCTTACTAATCCGTTGGGCTATGTCGGTCACTCTAGTTCTACTGCGGATATCCTCATTTCTGAGTTTATCACGCAGAGAAACTCCGAGCATAGCCCTCTCCATAGCTCGCTGAGCGACCTTGAGCTTCCTCATCCGGCCAGCAGTGAAGGACCACGTCTCAGTTCCGTATGTCATAACTGGCAACACGCACTGGGTGTACAGTCTCGTTTTCAAGTTTTGAGGTATACCTGACGAGAAGATGTGCCGTAATTTCCCGAACGCTGCCCAACCGAGTTGAATCCGTCGATTGACCTCTCGGTCGAAGTTGGACTTACCTAGTCGGACTATTTGTCCCAGGTAAACATACTCGTCAACAACTTCGAGCTTAGTGTTCCCAACAACTACCGGCATAGGTGTGACATGGACATTAAACATGATCTTTGTTTTGTCCATGTTCATCTTAAGACCTATCCGTTGGGAAACACTATTGAGGTCATTGAGCATAGTGCTTAGGTCCTCCAGCGATTCTGCCGTAAGGACTATATCGTCGGCAAATCGAAGGTGAGTGATGTACTCGCCATTGATGTTGATACCGTATCCTTTCCAGTCCAGAAGCTTGAAAACATCTTCAAATGCAGCGGTAAAGAGTTTCGGGGATATGACGTCACCCTGTCTTACACCTCTCTGCAATTGGATAGGTTTCGTACTCTGGTTCTGTACTCGGATAGCCATCGTAGCCCTACTGTACAAGCACTTCAACACTTCGATATACCGACAGTCAACTTGGCATCGCTGAAGGGACTGCAGCACCGCCCAAATTTCGACGGAATCAAAGGCTTTCTCATAGTCCACATACGCCAGACATAGTGGCAAATTGTACTCCTCGGACTTCTGTACAATTTGCCGAAGGGTATGTATGTGGTCTATGGTGCTAAAGCCTTTTCGGAAACCGGCTTGTTCGGGAGGCTGGAAGTCGTCAAGTCTGCGCGCGAGACGATTCGTAATGACTCTCGAAAACAGCACGTAGACGCGGCTCAGAAGGGAAATCGGTCTGTAGTTCTTCAAGAGAGCGTTGTCGCCTTTCTTGAAGAACAAGACCACCGCACTTCTGCTCCACGCCTCCGGTGTAATGCCACCATGGAGGACGGAATTAAAGAGCTTCTGAAGGACTTCAAGTACCGGTTTTCCACCCGCTTTCAGAAGCTCCGCTGTAATTCCATCCTCGCCTGCGGCCTTGCCGTTTTTAAGGTGCTGGAGAGCCATTCTAATCTCGCTCAGACTGACGTCCGGGATATCATCGGAATAATGTCGGATAAGACTCGCTCTTGGATCGTTACTCACACTTGCGTGCGGCTCCAACGATGACGTGTACAGCTGCCCATAGAACCTCTCAATCTCACTCAAAATCTCAGGTGCCCCGGAAACGATGCTGCCACATTCTGTCTTCAGCTTTGACAGTTGGCGCTTTCTGGCAGACAGATCTCTGGCAAAGACTTTGGAGCCTCGGTTCCGCTCGATCGCTTCTTCAATACGAGCTGTATTGAATTTGCGTAAGTCCCGCCGCATGCATTTGGAGATCTGTCTGTTCAGTTGCCTGTATGCTGTTAAATCTGTTGAAGAATGTAGCTTCATCTCCCGTCGAACAGCCATGAGATTAAGAGTGTGATCGGAGAGTTTTTGTGTTCTTCTGCGGCGGGTCTTGCAGAACTTAGCTCCGACCGCATGGACAGTTTCCACGAGCTTGTCATTCAAATCGTCCACTTCATTGCAGTCTTCTAGGCACTGAAAACGGTTTTGTAACTCGAGCTGAAAGGTTTCGGGACTTTGGATTAGAGCACGAGGGGGACGGAGCGTTGACTTCATTAGACGAGACCTCTCCAACTTAACGTTTAGGTTCAGTGTGCCTCTAACCATTCGGTGATCGCTGCCGGTTTTCACCCTCGCGATCACTGAGACATCACTGAACAGTTGTCGTCTGGTCGTCATAATGAAGTCAATCTCATTTTTTGTCGAACCGTCGGGGCTCGACCAGGTCCACTTCCTGTGGGGCCGCTTCTGGAAGAAAGAGTTCATCATAAAGAGTCCCTCTTTCTCCATGAAGTCGGCCAGCTGCTGGCCCCTTGGGTTCCGTTGCCCTATTCCAAATTTCCCTACTT